ATTTTGTTGCTGGTAATTGGTCTGTTTAGATTTTCTGTTTCTTTCTGCGTCAGTCTTGGAATGTTGTATTTTTCTAGGAAGTTGTCCATTTCTCCTAGGTTTTCCAGCTTGTTAGCATATAGGTTTTCATAGTATTCTCTAATAATTCTTTGTATTTCTGTGGGGTCCGTTGTGGTTTTTCCTTTCTCGTTTCTGATTCTGTTGATGTGTGTTGACTCTCTTTTTCTCTTAATAAGTCTGGCTAGAGCAGTCTTCAATCTTATTAGAGAATGATTTCCTTGGATTATGAACACCCTGTTCCAAATGCATGTTGACCTTAAAAATGAACGTCAGTTATTGTAATAGCAAAAATGGGTTTATTTGGGAATAGCAGAGAACTGCAACTGGGGACAACAGGGAATTGCAATTGGGGACAGCAGCTACATCAAAGCCATAGGCAAGTCGGGAGAATAAAGGAGGGGGACACTCTTTTACATAGGATGGGGAGGTGGGGATTTGTTTAAAGCAAAAAGCCCACCAGAGGAAACTGGGAGTCCCAAGAGTGGTGGCTGCTCAATAGCTAAGTAGTGTCACTGGGAAGTTTGGGAAAGGGGGGAACCTGCCTTCCGCTGCTGAGAGCGGAGTCTTTAAAACAGTTTGGCACCGGCTCATCTCGTAGGGTTGGGACTGAGGCGGGATGTGAGTGAGCGCTCCCCCTGCAAGCCTCTGCACACCATGTCAGTGAGGTTTCCCTTTATTAATGTTCACCCTCACCATGCTGGAAATTTCAAACGGACCTCCCTTAGACCCCTCAGGTTTAGGGGCAGAACGACCCAGGCTAGCGAGGAAAAGGACAAGGATGAATTGACAGTACTATGCACATGAACGTCCACAGGATGTCAATAAAGGGAAAGGCAAAGGAAAGGAATTAGGCACTATTTTTTTTACTTAAGGTAATGTCTTAGCACTCAATTCAAGTATTTATTGGTTGCCTAGAGTGTGCAGCCATGATATGGTGAAGTTTGGATAATTCTCGAAAAATAAAAGACACTTTGCCAACAGCAAGGGACTCCCAGTGTAAAGGAGCGACAACAAAAAGTGTAATGGGTAAACTACTAAGCCTGCAGGGACGGTAAGACCGATTCTGGGAAGGTGCAAGTAAAGGGAGAGGGAACCAAGGCTCCAGGGGCCAGAACCCGCCTATCGGCTGCGTGTTGTGAGCCATTACAGTGGTCTCCCAAGTACAAACAGAAAACCAATCAGCAATAACAACATGCCTCAAAACACAAGCAGCTCATAACCATGCTAAGGTGAGACCAGTCTATTTTAGTGTCTATCTCAACCGCCTCCCCATAGGTGCTTTCTCCTGCTGTACTCTCTCTCACACACACTACACACACATACACACTAAATTTGGGGGTGGGGAAAGCCCTAACGTCCCTCAACCTGTTACACATGGCATTTCTTGATCATAAGCCACATCTTCCGAAATTTATGGCAAATGGCATCATGGTGTTCAAGAAGAGGGACCCCACCATGGGCACATGCACTGGCTATGCTGCGGTAAGAGGATTCCAGGGACCCCACCATGGGCACATATGCACTGGAGATGCAGCAACAGGGAGTTTCCAGGGAACCCCAGCGTGAACACATCTACCTGAGATGCGGCGGTAGGCGGATCCGCACACTGGGCTTCCCACGTATCACCTAAAACCTCCCACATCATAATCACTCGGTGGGTGCTTGTAAAATGTGCCTGCTCAGATTTCTGAGCCCATTCCAAAATGAACTGGTGGACCCTGGTGACTACTCAGGATGCTCACTCAGATTTTATGCCTGGGGAGGGCGACTCCCGGCTGCTCACCCCTGAACCTGCGTCCCGCCCTCGGCCCTCGCGTCCCCCAACCTCCCCGCCCCCGCTCACCTCCGCCCCACGCCCCCCAAACTTCAGGCCCTGCTTCCGCCTCTGTACCTCGCCCTAGGCGCCTGCCCACCGTGCCCCCCAAGCCCCAGGCCCTGCTCCCGCCTCTGCTCCCCGGGTTCCCTGACCTTCTGGCCCCCGCTCCCCCAGTCTCCGCTCACCAGCGCCCTCGGCAGTCTCGCCCTTCCAGCGCGCCAGCAGGTCGACGCGGCGCAGCCGCTGCAGCACCGTGGTGAAGACGCGCGCGGCATCCGGCAGGTAGTAGTGCCGGGCCAGCAGGCGGGCCAGTCCCGAAGCGCTGCCGCCCTCCAACTCCAGTTGCACCTGGCTCACGCGCGGCTCCTCGTCCACCTTCTGCAGGATGATGCGGAAGTGGCGCAGCTCCTGCGGGGACAGTACGGCCAGGGTCTCCTGCAGACGGTTCTGCAGCTCCTCCATGGCGAGCCGCGCGCCCGGGAGGCGTTTCCGCTGCGCAGCCGAGGTCCGCGGGCAAAGCAGGCCGCTCCACCGACCTCCCGCCTTCCTCCCTCGGGCCCCGCCCCTCCAGAGCCACGTCCCCGCCCGGGCCCCGCCTCCGCCCGGAGCCCCACTCCCAGCCCGGTTCCCGGGCCCGCCCCACCCTGGTCACGCCTCCCGGCCCAGAACCAGCCCCTGCTGACCCCACGGAACCTGTCCCTATTGTGTAGTGCGTCCCCGGGACTTAAGCGCGCTGGTCCCCGGCCCAGGTCGGTTCCGTTAGAGCCCCGGGGAGGCGACCCGGGCGTCGGCAGGGTTCAGAGGCTCCAGGTACCTGCGGTGGCCGCCGGGCTTGAGAACAGCGAATCTACCTCCAGGGCGTTTGTCAACTCCCTGAGCAGGTGGTTCCAAAGCAGCGGGACTTGAAACCCGAAGTAATAGCCTCGGATATTGCACTGGGCCAGCTGTTTTTGGAAAAGCCTGGTGACAAAAGGTAAGGTTTGAGAATTGCAGTCAGCAAGAGGTTAGCAGTGCACACCGCTCACTGGTGTGTGGAGAGCCGTGCCTTGGTGACACCTTGGCTTTGCAACCCCAGAGTCAGTACTGTGGGTTCCAGTTCCCTACTTGCTCTAATTGTGGTTTGGCTCAAAACGACCTACTCTTTCATAAAGCTGGTGAGTCTCAGGACCTTGTCTGAATCCTGATTCATATAAACCAACTGTAAAAACTCGTTTTTGAGGCAGAGAAATGTGAATATGGGTTGTTTTGGATAGTATGCAATTTAGCCTTTTCCAGGTGGGATAGAAACACTGTAGTTACATACGAACAATGTCCATAATTCTTAGAGATGTATATTTAGGTATGAAGGGTGAGATGGTGTGGTGTCTGGGATCTGCTTTTTAAAGCATCATAAAGGAAAGCAAAAAGTGGGGGGAGAAGACAAGCAAGAATGGCAAAATCCTGGTAGTTGTTCCATCTCAATTATGTGGATGAAGGGCCAGAGTACTGTCTGCTCTGCTCTTGGGACTTAAGTATTACATAATATATTTTTGGAAATTGAGTATAATTGTTAGCTTGAAAGCTTTGCTCCTGTCCTTCTAGCCACGCCTTCCTAGGCCTTATCTGTCCTCAACAGATGACTGTTTCCTCCCACAAAGCCCTGCCTCTTAACAAAGTATGAGGCAGCCCATTAAAGAGGCCTGGGCTGTGGTTCCAAAGTAAGGGAAGTTCAATAGCCGTTTCCTTTCTGAAAACAAATTTTTGGGCCTGAGATACGCAGGCCCCCAGCCACTGGCCTGTCTAGAGTCTGGGTTAACAAATTTCAGCTTCCCCCTGTTTAGAGAAAATCAGGCCATTTCTCCAAATTTTATGATTATTTGCCACACAAAGATCAAATGAGCACAGGAAGGGGCTCTGGTGGCCAAAATTCACCCACCAAGTATAAGGTGAGTAGATCTGCCTTGGGATAAAGCCTACACTTCTGAGCCTCATCTCTGCCTCTAGCACTCCCCTCCCCCGCAAGGGGCCCTCTGAAGGCCCTCACTGGCATTAGGACTCTTGGTCCAGGATGGGGGTCAAAGCCTGAGGCCCCAAGCCCCCCGAGTCCCAGCCCTGTTGTCCCCTGCTGCCCTCAGGCCTGTCCATGCACTATTTCCTATCCTGAGTGCTCCCCACTCTCCCCAGCACAAGGCCTCACACACAGGTCACCAGGCACTGGTAGCTTGGGGACACTGACAGATTAGGACCCTACTTTGTCCTCTCCCATATTTTTCTCCATGTTATTTTGAATAGAGCATTTTAACCTAAAAGCTAAAGCATAAACTTCATTTATACTTATAAAACATGTGTTATGAGTTGACTTGTGTCCCCCAAGGATATGTTGGAATTCTATCCCTGCTCCAGCTCCTAGGAATGTGACCTTATTTGGAAATAGAGTCTTTGTTAAGTTAAGATGAGGTCCTTCTGGAGCAGGGAGAGCCCGAACCCAGTGCCTGGGGTCCTGAAAAGAAGACAGAAATCTGGAAAGGGAGAGCCTGACACAGGGGAGAAGGGGCTGTGAAGACGGAGGCAGAGATTGGAGTGATGAATGCCAAGAACAGCCAGCAACCACTAGAGGCTGGGAGGGACAGGAACTTTCCTCCCCTGGGGCCTTCAGAGTCTGCTGTCACTTTGACTTCAGACTCACAAGCTCCAGAACTGAGAATTGATTTCTGTTGTTGGAAGCACCCAGTTTGTGGTGATTTGTTGCATAGCCCTAGAAAACTCACACAATGTGCCCAAAATGTTTGAGGACATATTACTGTCCCCACTTTCCAGGCACAATTTCAAGTGTGCCTGAGTGAGTGGACACCAGGCTTTCCCCCTGGATGGCCTGGATCACAGCCCATTCCTAACCAGGAGACCAAACTTTCCCTTCTGCTGTTGATTAATAACAGCCCTTTGGTAGGTTTGAAAGTTGATAGGAAAACTTGGGCACCCATGAGAAGAGCTGTAATAAATGAAACAGTCAAGAACAAGTGTTGAGGAGGATGTGGGGAAATTGGACTGTCATACAAAGCTGGTGGGAATGTAAAATGGGGCAGACACTCTGGAAACCAGTCTGGCAGTTTCTCAAATGGTTAAACATAGTTACCACGTGACCCAACAATCCCACTCCTAGGCACACATGCCTAGGAAATGTCCACACAAACACATGTACTTGAGCATTCACAGTGGTATTATTCCTAAGAAAATAGTGGAAACAACTTAAATATTTGTAAACTATTGAGTATGGATAAATAGCATCTGGCATAGGCATATGACAGTATATTATTCAGCCATGAAAACAGTGTTAAACCTGCTACATCACAGAGGAACCTCAGAAACATGCTGAGCAGAAGCCAGACATGAGACCCCATCCTGTATGACTCCATTTCTATGACGTGTCCAGAAAAAGCAAATACATAGAGGGCAGATCGGTAGCTGTTTGAGAATGGGGCTCAGAATGAGGATTATAAATGAGAGATCTTGGAGGATAAATGTGTTCTAAAACTGATTTACGGTGATGGTTGCACCACTTGGTGAAATTCCTAAAAATCACTTAATTGTATTTTTGTAATTGGTGAATTATATATGTGAAATAAAGCTGTTTAAAATTGTTTAGGTTTTAGGATCACACAGGGTCAAGAGCCAGCCACCTTAGACTATTTTGTTATTTTAGAATACAGGAAGGACACTGTTTAGGTTTTCCAGTTTTCAAGATAAAGTGCTTTATTTTATTCACCTAAACTTTAGCTCCTGAAAAATGCAAGAACATCTTAAGAGTTGAAACAGTGCAGGGGCCAAGATCAAAAACTTATTTGGACACTTAGAGGCTAGGAAGCCACTGTCCCCCTTCTTCAGAGCCTCTGAAAAGGTGACTAGGAGCTAAACATGTAACATTTTTTCTTCCTTATCCTAACATCACCTCAGCACAGACATCGGCCTGGGGAGAGTGACTGCTGTCCCTGCAGACCCAGCCCCCCAGCTGGAATGCCTCAGCCACGGCGGGCAGGCCATGGCTTCAGTGGCTGGACGAATCCTTGCCTAAGAGCAGGCCCAAAGGGGCCCTGTGATGTAGTCGGTGGCTGGCAGAGCCCTCTCTGGAAATGCCTTTTCAAGTAGCTTTGCAGAGCAGGCAGACTGCCTAACTCCCAGTGTGCTGCTTGTGCGGTGACTCCTCTGCTGCGAAGTTCTGAGGCTTGCGCTGCACCTGTTTATTGTCTACCTGCATTGGGTAACTAGGGTGACCCATCAGCCAGGCACTCCAGGTAGGACTTCACCCACTTTAGGATGGAGATGCAGCCCTGGGCACACCAGACAGTGCAACAGACCCCATCTCTCCCGGTCCCCTCTCTGTCAGGACTTCAGGCCCATCTTGGCCATCATCTCTTCATAGACTGTCCATGCCATGGCTGCCATCAGAGTTCTGCGCAGGACCCGGGGGACCCCACCTTGGAAGAACCCTCGCAGCCCATAGTCCTAGGAGGAAACCAAACGTCAGAACAGTAGAAGTGAAGCAAGCAGCAATACAATTACACACCTGGTACAAGAGTGAAGGTCTCTCTGTATGTCACCCCATTTTTGGGTGTTAGTTTTTAAACTTTAAAAAATGCCCAAACTATGAATAATGGGTCCAAGGTGACAATGAACTTGACAGAACAATTTTTTGCATACTTGCTAGGCTTATCTTTTCAGCTTGTCTATCCTGGGGCATTATTTCTTAGCTGAAAATCTTTGTTCAGGGCTGCTGTGTACAGTTGTACAGCTTGTAGGGTGCACAGGGGCACAAAGCTCCAAATGGCAGCTGAAATCTAGACCAAAGTCTGCTTGCCAAGCTGTAGGCCCTGGCTCCAGGCTTTAGGAAAAGGGGCCTTTTTGGCAATCTGCCTGGAGGGAGCATCTTTTTGTGATTCAGTGTTTTTGGTGACCCAATTTAAGAATTAAAGACAAAACACCTCTTACCCCTCCCTCACAACCTGCATGGATGTATTCTTTCCTGTTGTTATCATTCCTACCATTACATAAACTAGAGAACATATTTTCAAACCTTAGGTTCTTAGGTATAGAGAATAAGAAAGGAAGCGGCTTACAATGTGTGAGGAACATGATCAGATTTACAGATATTTGTTTATATCTAGGGTGAGAGATGTATTTGATGCATATGCTTATATGCTTCCTCTGCTACACAGAAAAATTGAGAAGTACAGAAAAATCTAAAGATGTAGGCAACCAATTTGCCCTGAACAAGAATATCTGGTGTGGTAACAGTACATGTTTCCAGAGAACCAACTCAGTGGCATTTAAATATAATTTACATTCACTGTACTTTCATCTTCAATAATACCATCTGTCCATTTGCATTAGACCAACCTCCTAGAAACAAAACAAGTGTGTGTGTGTTTTTTCTGACTTTATTTCCTCCTAAGGCCTTGACTGCATTACTGAGTGCTCCCAGATGGCCTGAGTCAGTAGGTCTGGGTGAAGCCCAGCAATCTGCATGTCGAATGAATACTGCAGGTTGTCAGAATGCAGCCTCACCAAAAACAAATAAAACCAACCATAGGTTCTGAACGGAGATTCTCAACCTTGGCAGCACACAGGAAGCACTGGGGAACTTAAAATGCTGATGGCCTGCCACCATGCCCCCGCCCCACCCCCGCTGCCCCCAACATTTTGACACAATCAGCCCAGGCTGTGGTCTGGGAATGGAGATTTTTAAAAGCTCCTAGGTAACTTTAACATGTAAAGGATGAGAGCCTCAACCATAACAAGAACGAATACTTATTCAACAGCCTTACTTTGAAAATGAGTGTCACCACCTGGCCGATCCACCAAGATTTCACTGGGGAGAGCTGCATATGAGTTTTGATAACATCTGCAGGCTGAGTTACCAGTGAAGCCAGAATGCCAGCAAATATCCCACAGCTGAAATTTACAATGGGAATAAGGACTGCATCCAACTGGTCTGAAACAGGACAAAGACAATGTTAGCTATAACTAAATCTCACATTCATCTGATAAATATCAATGCTAAATTGCCCACTAATTCTTCCCCAAAGCCTCCAAACCAGTAAGGGCTCAAAACCACTTGGACAAAGACCACACCACAGGAGGAGGAAATAGTATTTTTCTTCTAGCTCCCAATCCACTGGCATTCCCAAACTTGTCTGATAGGAATCACATCAACTTCTTGAAAATTACAGACTCTCAAAGCTTCTGATTTTAAAGGCCATACTTGCGTGGGACCCAGTAATCTAAGGATCTGGTAAATCTGGGAAGTCCCTCTGCAGTACCTATGCAAAGTGTACTTTATCCTACCCTCTGCCCAACTCAAAAATTAAAGTACTCTGAGCACTCCACCTCAACAGGCTACAAACTCGATAGCGTAGGGACCATGTCTGTCTGTCATAACCACCATTGCATCCCAGCACCCAGCCCCATGACACAGTGCTGACATGGCTCAGTTCCTAAAATTCTGCCCAGAATCTGGAGCTGCCAAGACAATAAACGGTCTCCTATCACAGAGAAAGTGGTTAGGATGCAATGTCTTGGGTATCTCCTCACCACCCCTGCCTCTGTCCATACCATGGGGCATGATGCTTCTTGTCTGGTTGTAAAACATCAGGTAGATTCCAGAAAAGGGTGCGTCACGAAGGAGTGTAGCTGTCAGGCCACTGAAGAGGCCCCGGTGCCCCTCGCTGCAGTAGATGCTCCTCAGAGCTGCGTAGATGCTTTCATAGCCAAATCTCCCGCTCTGCAAGAAGACACGGGGGCCCTGGGTTTGAGCACTGGACCAAGCCCACCTCAGGGTACATGGCATCCAGGGCACTAGGGGCTATGGCTCACATGGGCTGGGCCTGCCCACAAGAATGGGTTCTCAGACCACATTGGCCTGTTTGATTTTAAGTCAGGAGTTGACATCAGCAGCCACTTGATGTCTTAAGAGCAGTGCCGCAGATGCCACAAGAGCCTCCTGCGTCTGTTTATCCACCCTGAGGGTCTAAAGCAGTCGAACTCACCTCATAACGTGTCTTGATCACAGTGATAGGTGACACGCAGACCCCTGCAACTGAGCGAGAAACCATCCCCAGGAGGACCGACTCCAGGCAAGTGGGGGGGTGGCCTTGCAGGAAGTACTGCTTCAAAGAGTAGAGCGTGCCAAAGTAGACCCCGATACCGGGGATGCACCTCGCAATGGACTGCAGGTCAGGGGAGGAAAGAAAGCAAAGACTGACACTGAGGTGCCATCTCTGCTGGGTTTCCCCAAAAGCAGTCCCAGGATTTGCATGCAACTGGTTGGTGTAGGTGTGGAGGGCCCTCCAAGAGGAGTGGGGAAGTTAGACAGTAGAGAAGGCAGCCAGGAAGGAGTGTGCATCTGACTTGTTACTGCCATGCCCAACTTGTCCCTTTGGGGTCCCCTGGGAATGAGCATGGGACACGCCTCAGAGATGTTCCTCCATTTGAGAAGGGGGCATGAGGTTTTAAGCATCAACTCTCATCTTCCGTTGGTTAAGGGCTGCTATGGGGTAGGGTGAGCACCCTGACACTCCAGCAAAATGAGATCCTAGGGCCAGAAAAAGCCTGCAGGCAAAGAAACGTAGGCGAGGAGGTCTCAGCCCACTGGCCCTGAAGGAGCAAGGGCTGGTGTGTGCTGACAGGTGGAGCGCCTGCCGTACCTACTCTGGAGGCTTCATACAGCACTGGCAAGTCACACTGAGGGTGCAGGGACCCACTATCTCGATTATGTGCACAGAGGTGAGTAACGTATAGGGCAGGCAGAAGACTGCACAGGTCCCCCCACCACTTTCAGCTCTCACATATCCTTAAAGTGAGGACATGTGAAGTGGATGAGAAATGGAAAGGGAGCAAGACAAGACCCAAAAGGCAGCTTACAGGGGACATCCCCTTCCAAAGGCCGAAAAGACTCTCCGTGCGAACCACCATCGAGAGCATAGCCAACATTCCAACACGCCTGGATCTGAAGGCAGACAAAATGGATGAAGGAGTTAAAGATCACTTAGACCAGTCTTCCTAATAGAACTCCCCACTCAAAGGCTTCTTTGTATGGACTCTTTTCTAGAACACTTGTGAATCTCTACAATGCCTCTTGGAATTACTCCGAGTTCCCATGTGTTCATGATTTGGCACAAATGCATTTATCGTTTATCTGTCCATTCATGATGCAAGCAGTGGGATAGCCTCCCATTTTACATACATTTTGTACACTTCCCACAGTGCAGAGCCAAGATGGGGCACAAAAGAGACACCCAATACTAAACATTTCCCAGAAAACCACCCACTACACATTCTAGACAGCACAGCCTTACATTACAGGCTAGCACAATAAAATGTAAAATGTCACTGACGCAGACCCTAGGAAGCTGTTCAGGCACAGACGCTAATTAAATAACAAGAAAGGTCAAATGTAAAAATATTCACAGGAAAGAATGTACACAAAGCCCTTGAAAGTTGGACATGGCCAACAGAATGGAAGTGGACTTAGCACAGCACACACTCCTCTGAGAACAGTTGTGGAAACCAGCCCCTGGTGGAATGGGGGGCAGCAGGCCTTACCCATGGGCTGAGGGCTGGAGGGTCTGCAGGCGTGTTTTGAGGAGATCCAGGGGTTGGAAAAGGAGGGTAGAACAGGTCCCACTGATGGAGCCACACAGAAAGGCTTTGATCACCGGGTGCACCTGCAGGATGGGAGAACACTGTCAGCAGCTTTGCCGTAGAAAAGTGTCTTTGTTTGTCATGCCTAGACAAGCCAATTCCTTGGTAAGGGTCTCTCAGAAACTCACCTCGTGGTGCCCTGTATTATCGTCATACTTCAGAGAAAGAAAAATACCCAGGAATTAAGAATGCTGGGGTGTCACTGAGAACACAGTACACCGGCAGGGCTATGTCTCTGGTCTTAGTGATGGCTTTGCTCCCAACGAGCAACATGGCTATCTCCATCTGTGAGCACACCTCCCGACCTGTCCTGACGATAGGAGTTATTGGCTAACTCCTTATCTTCACAAAACAGAACCAATTGAACAGTGTTTTAACTCTGAACTTCTGGTTTCCAAGCTCCTTTTGTTGTAGGGCTGTAAATATTTAAAGGAGCAAGATAAAGGAAAGGAAACCGTAAGTCTGGGAACAGTGTGCACATATGCACCATTTCCTGTAAGCCCATGCATTTCCTGAACTTACAACTTTCACTTTCTGCTGGGACCTCAGCAGATGGCAGACAGCAAACACTGAAGACCAGCAGCCACCTGGGTAGCCAGAAGTGTGACACATACTGGCTAATCTGGAGGCACCACCCAAAAGGGCAGGACTCCCCCAAAGACTAAATGTATTTCCCCAAGCACATGCCAGGGCCTCCTACCATGCCCCAGAACCCAGACCCAATTACAAATGTTGTGACAAGGCACTTTTAAAAGCCCAACCATGGATGGGTGGGAAGGGAGGGATAAGGGGGAAAAAAAAAGGGGCATTACTATTAGCAGACATAATGTGGCGGGGGGGGGCGCACAGGGAGGGCTGCACAACACAGAGAAGACAAGTAGTGATTCTATAGCATCTTACTACACTGATGGACAGTGACTGTAATGGGGTATGTGCGGGAGACTTGGTGATGGGGGGAGTCTAGTAAACATGTTTCTCATGTAATTGTAGATTAATGATACCAAAAAAAAAAAGCCCAACCAGGAAAGAAAGCCTCTTCTCCAAAGGAGATGCTTGGCAAACCCATCCAAGAAGTTCTTGGCTTGCTGTGAAATGGCACAAGCACCATTCTTTTTAATAAATGGCTGCTGCTGTTCTAAAACGCCATGAAGATAAACAGGCAGTTGACTGTCACATAGCACGACTACCTGTCCAGGATAACACTCATCATCTGTAGCAACTGTTTTCAGACAAGTGATCATCACACATTCCACCAAATAAGCAAGTCTCAAATCATACCTGTAACTATTGAAAAGACTGTTGGGAAAGGATGAAGAAGTCCAGATAATGAACTTGGGCTCACAACCGCGCTCCTGTTTTGTAGGGGTCCAAGGGGGTTGGGCTGGGAAGGAACACCACCCCAACAGGACGTGCACATGCCGCAGCTCTGGGCCCCACTTCATCTCCCCAGATAAGGCTGTCCTGTCCCTTATGCTAGTCCCCTTTCCCGTGAATTGTGTTCCCTGGCCTCACTCTAGATAGGGAACATCAGTGTTCCCGCATTCTCGGCTCTTCCTTCCACTGGCACCTTCTCCTTTGCCTGGAAACAAGCTTGGAAGCCCATTTTCCAGCCTGCCGCCACATCCTTTCCTCTACTCCCTCTTTGCCAGCCAACCTTTCAGCTCCTCCCCTGAAGCTGCCCCGTGTGCTCACCTGGACCCGCTGTGCCCCAGCGCCCCTTCCCTGCCCATGGCCTTCTCTTACAGGGCCTCTCTGGTGCATCTGGAACAGCGGACCCCTCTCCTGGTTTCGGTTTCTTTCCTTTCCTGCTGCCCTCCCCTAAGGCTCCTTTCTGGGTTAGGAGGTTGCCGATCCTTTATCTCGCCTAGCCTGGCCTGGGCCACCTCCCACACCTCCCACCCCGCCCCCTCCAAAGCTCACAGGGACTGGAAACCGCTGGTCAGCAGTCCTCCACAGGCCTGCTTCCTCTACAGTCCACACTGGGACATTTCAGGGGATGTTTGGGAGACATGGGGCCTCTCACTCTACCTACTGCTTCATAACCAAGCCCTGCGGGCAACCCCTAGGCCTTCCCGAAGCCTGCCCCCAGCCCTCCTAGTGGCCTTCTGGCAGTCTCCTACCTCCACCATGCCAACCCTGCTCTGTGCTCCCAGAACAGCACTGGCAAGGGAGCTGTATACACCATCTCAAACTCACACACTCCACGAACTGGGTATTTTAAGCCCATTTACAGACAAAACGGAGCTCGCAGAAGGCACAGATATGTAGCTATTCAAGGGATTTCCAGCCAGCGGCAGGCTCAGAGCTCATTGGACCCTGTCTGCAGGGGAATCAGGGCATTGCTCAGGTGGCCCAGCATTCCATGTTGACCTCTGCCGCCGGCTCCTTGAAAGGCTCTCTTCCTTTAGCTTAAGGGACTCACCACACCCTAGTCTCTCTTCCTCCAATGGAGAGGCTCTTTCTTCCTGGACCACACTCCCACACCCTTCATCGACACCCACAGCAGCAATTTCCACCCTGCTACTCAGACCTGCACCCTCTCTCCAGAACTTCAGACCCATACTTCCACTTTCTCGGCACTTACAAGTTTCCAAACCCAGCTCCTCCTTCAAGTACTCTATCCCAGGGAATGCACTGCCATGTACCTGTGCAACCACCCCAGCCAGAATGGGGTGCCATCCTTGACTTGGCCTCTCTGCACTTGCTCACTCTACCTCCTGCACAGCTCTCATGGCCACCTCCACTGTCACCCTCGCTCACAGCCCATCATTCTTGCTTTGGTGACTGCCAGCACCTCTTCACCCCTTACCACCCCCTCTCTCTGATCCCTCTAATTCACTTCCTCCCCTGCAGCCAGTCATCTTTTGAAACCAGTAATCTGATCACATTGCTTCCAGATGCAAAACCCTTTAACAAAATAAAACGTTTTCTACAATTTGAAGTTACCAATTAAAAAAATAAATTAATAAAAATGCAAATAGTGATAAATGTATTAGAGGCCATTATCACATAAATGTCATTAACACTCACTGAATTACAATTTTAAAAAAAATACCCTTACTTTACCCCACACTCCAGTTGTCCCTTACCTGATTAATCTCTGAGTCTTCTACTGAGATCTTGTGTGCTCTGGGAAGGGCCCTGGCCCGCATTCGTGTCCACTGTTCCTCCTCAGCACCTCCACCTGACATAAGCCTATCTCCCTTATGACTGAGTATCTGGGACAGAAGAGGGCGCTGACTGTCCCACTCATAGTGATACCTCCAGCACTGACCATGGAACCTGGTACAAAGTAGGTGCCCAACATCCCAGAATCAATGAACCACACTATCTAACAGGACATCTGCACAGGGCTCCCCTTGAACACAATTCCACAGGATAATGCTTCATGGGCCCTACATGCCCCATCCTGGAAGGGGTAATGTCCCCTAGACTGCCCTCAGCTCTTTGCTCCAGGAGGCTGCAGAAACCACTAGTCCCCTTGGTGCTGTTACCCCAGCACTCTCCCAGGTGCTGTGTGGGATATGCTGCTTTCCCCCACCCCCACCCCCAACCCCAGCACCCCACTGCAGGAATTATGTTTTTTCATGTCTTTATTTCCACAGCACGATCCTGGGACATATTCTTGGCTCAATAAATATTTGTTGATTAACTGAGCAGAGCTCTTAACTTTTTTAACTTTGTAATTTTCCAGGTCCATTAGCACAAAATAGATGGTAAATACACACCAGCATGATAGCTTAACCTCCAATAGTTAAAAAAAAAAAATTGGTAACAAAAACAAACAATTTACACTTTTATTTTGAATAGTCTTATAATATTTCCAGTGGTGAGCGACACAACCTTTGATGGCATGTTCGTTTTTCTAATTAGCCTAAAGTTATAAGGTAAATAAGATGAGTCAACAGGTTTGTTTTTGAGGAGGAAGGGCAAAAACAACCAAAAAAAACACAGGTAGGTGCACAAAGCAGCAAATAGTACTTAAACAGCAAACGAGTTCTACAGGCAATTCCTACTCCCCTTTAAAAATTTTAATCCTAAATTCAGAGCTCGAACCCAGAACTGGAGGACCCAGAAAAAGAAATAAGTAAGCACACTGCCAAAGATGTAAACTGCTGCCGCCGCTGAATAAAAAAAAAAAATCCATCCACCTCCCCGACGGTAATAAACCAGACCCCAGATCTCTGGAGAAGGTCCCACCGCCGCCAACCCTCCGCGCCCCGCCCGCTGGCCCTCCTAGTCCCCGTGGTCTACCCGCTCCGCCGCTGCAGTGCCGGGCCTCCCCGGCCTCCAACCCGCGCCTCCGGCTACTTCCCCGGATCTTCCCCAGGGACCTGCGCAGCCCCGCCTCCGCCTCCACCAATGGTGGCCCGGCGGCAGGACCGCGGCAGCCACTCCGAGGCCGGAGGCGTGGCACAGAGGCATCCAAGGAGCCCTGGCCGAGAAGTGGGAACCCACCGCGGCTCCCTCCGGGCCCACCCTGGCTCAGGGCCAGCCGCTCCTCAGCCTGGGCGCGTTCACGGGCCTCGTGACGGCCCGAGTACCGCCCAGGTGTCCTCCCACCCCGCCACCCGGATCCCACCGTAGCTCGGGAGCACTCCTCAGGCCCCGGACAGTCCCTACCAGACATAGAGGCGGCAGCGAGGCCCCTGCTTGTCGGACCCGAGGGGTGGGCAGCGACTCCTCTTCCCTCGCCCCTTTCAGACCCTGAGACACACTCAGTTTCTCCCGCCTCGTCCGGGGCGCGCAACGGCTTCCTCGAAGGCCGCCGACCCTTGGCAGTTCCCAGGAGCCCCTCCCCAGGCCGGGCAGCCCCGGCCTCGGCCCCGCAACTCACCATGAGCGTTTCCACGCCGTCTCCCACATCCTGAGGCGGCAGCAGCGCCGCGCGCGGCTTCTGGATCATTGGGGAAGGCCAGCGCGCGCCCCGAGCCCGGGGCCGCCGGCGGAGAAGACTGGGTAGGCTCTCTCGGACGCCGTGCCCGGGAGCTACTTGCCACTCTTCACGCGCTCCGCGGCCGCGACTCTGCCCGGCGCATCCTGCCTGCCGCACCTCGGGATCCGAGCTGGCAAGGCTGGGCGTGCCAGGGCGCGGAAGGCTGCAGGAAGTGATATAACGGTGGGGTTGAGCTTCCGGGTTGGACGCACGTCGCGAAAGGGCTAAGGTGTCGGTGCCCTGCAGACGTGCGGTTTGTGGCTCCTGCGCGGAGAGATGCTTCCGGCGCTCCAGGCGCAGCGCAAAGACTGCGCAGTGACGCCCCTGGTGCGAGAGCCGGACTCGCTCCGCTGGGGCGTGTCCCTGAGGCGCTGCAGGAGCCGCGGAGCGGGCTGAGCGTTTTGCCCATGTACACGTAAGCAGTGTGGAATGTTTCCCCATAAACGCCTCTGTTTCGGCGGACCCGCGTCGGCCCTAAGCGCTCCCTGTGGCCGTCGCCGGGCCTCCGGCAGGGAATAAAACAACCGCCCTCTCAACGGCTCTCAGCTCGTGTCCGGCTGGTGTCTGGGAACACGGAGTTGGGCGGAACGTAACTAGCAGATCCAGAGCCTTCGAGCACAGCCTTGCGACCTGGGCCGCGGGGCGCTCCCGGGGGGCCGGGACTCCAGCGGGCGGCCAGGCCTCGGCAGGGGAGCGGTCCGCGCCGTCCCGGCGCCTGCCGAGCGGGAGGGCGCACTAAGACCGCGCCTGTGCAGGACAGACGCGGCCACGGGGGGGTGCGATGGTCCGCGACCTGGGGGCGGTTGAAGGACCCCGTCCCGCCGCCCTTGACCGTTGACCTTCCTTTGTTTTCTAGCCCTTAGTCTCTTAGAACATTTAAGAATTTTCCCTTATTACTAACGTTAATTTTCCTAGTTCTCTTCACTTTCAGTACAGCCGCTGGGGGCAAACCGCCAGTGGACCACACTGTCCCAGATGGTGACGGTGGCGGGGTCATCTCATCTGGACCCTGGATGGTGGCAGTGATGGTGTCACCTCGCTTGGGCCGTGTTAGTAATCTCTGTGCTCTCCCAACTGCCCATTCTTCCTGTCTGGCTGACCTACAGGAAAGTCTGCCAGGACCAACATTCGTGTTGAAAAAGCAGGGCCTCCAGCAGCCCCAATTATCTGCACAGTGAAGTCTGAACTTTCCACAGTGACAGCCTTCACCACCATCCCTTCACCAGGAAAGAAATGGGTAATTTAGGGAGCAAGATGCTGTTTTTTAAGGTTCCCTTCTTGTGCTATTGAGGTCCAAGGAACAGGCAGGAAGGCAGCTCTTTATCCCCAGAGGGGATTAATAAGCACAGCACTGACATTAATACATGTATGTGCCTGCCCTGTGATTGTTGAATGCTTTGCTACCCTCCATTCTAAACTGCAGGCTTGTTTTCTTTGTGCAACGTTGGATTAAACAAACTTCTTTGTAAAGGAAGACCTACCTTTTTCTCTCCCTATAGGGCAAGGATGCCTACTAAGGAGAGATAGTGGGATTGGTGTTTGCCACTCGGGTGGGGGCAGGGGTAGGACTAGAGTGAAAGCCTATGGCCCACTGCCCCACCCTCAGCAGGTACGAATGTTGGCTGGGCTCCAGGCTCAGATGAATGGGCTGGCTTTCAAGGGCAGTCAGGGCCTGCCAGGGTTTCCTCCTCTAATTCTGTTCCTGCCATATTCAAAACCCTGGCACCAGAGTACCCCCTCATCCCCTCCAACCCTTCCCCCACATTCTTAGGGATGCAGACATAGAAGATGGTAGGAAAGGAACATTACCATCAGCACACGAGAGATAGTTTTGGAGTGGTATGTACTAAATAGCAGAACTTGGAGGAGTGAATTAAAAAAAAAATGCATGGTGAAAACATTGTGTGTGACTGTTTCAAAACAAGATCGTGATTGTCAAGCAAGGCTTTCCTGCCTTGTCTTCAGTCAGTGGAAGGTGACTGCTTCTGTTAACCTAATTCCCTCTCAAGCCCAATCTTGCCCTTTTTTTCTCTCTTCCTGAGTTGGATATAAAGGTTACATGATGATTTCCCATCCCTGTGACTACAGACGCTCACTAATCAATTTGGATGCATAACTCCAAACTCTGACATCTGCAAGAGCTTCTAAGAAGGGAAGGGCTGGAGTAAACTGGGAGGCTGGAGACGAATGGGAGACAGAATCTGCTCCAAAGGAAACTGGGTCCTGCCCTCCAGGGCAGGAGTAGACTAGCCTTACAGTGCCTGGCACCTGTGTTACTTCATTTGGAAGAAGGTAGCTGGAATGGTGTGCATGCAGGTGAGTTGTCCCCATGCTCCAGGAAAAAGAGCTTCAAGACCTTCCATGTCTGCCTGGAGCTGGAGCTGCTTTTGGAAATACTATTCCCTCTGCTGTTGTCAAAGCAATGAGCTCACCATTGCCTTTTGGAAGCCACTAATGGGTCGAGGGGAGGTGGGGTGCACCCCCTGATGCCACCCTCCTCCCAGCCTTACAGGCCTCTCCCAGGGGTGGTTATCAGGATGTTCTCCATCTGTATAGACGCTTCTCCCCATCTGAACACCCCTCCCACCTAAACAGTCGGAAATAGCAGTCTTTGGAGCTTCTAAGTGCAGGCACTGCCCTCAATGGTGGGGTGGCGGGGTTGGTCCCCTCTGTGCCTGATCACAGGATGGGCATGAACAGGAAAGGAATTCTAATGGCTTTACCAGAAGGCTCAGCAGAGGACAGTCCTGTTGCTGCTTTGGACTTTGCAAGAGAGAACTTTCTTCTGTGCCAGTGACCTTTGCCTCTAGCCTCACCACTGAGCTGAGGGTGACTGGGCTGTGGTCACCACTGAGCTGAGGGTGACTGGGCTGTGGGAGAGCAGGGAGGTGGCTCATGGGCTGGTCCCAGGGTGGGTGACCGCCCAGATGGGGTGGGGGTCCGAGGGCCAAGACACCAGGCGATGGCAGAAAGGAGCCATTAAGTGAGCCCAGGTTGTGTGACTTTTATGTTTCATCACCACGGAGAAGCCACAAGACACTCAACATGTGACAAACCATTTCTCATGCTCTGCAAAGATCAAGCCCCTCTGAATTTTCCTGCCGTCTTCCCAGGGGGGAAACGTACAGTATGTTTTGGCTGATTCACACATGTAAGCACACAGTTTCTGTCACAGTTCTCCCTGGCCCTGGCAAGTCTGAGTCGCCCACGGGGTGAGCAGGACCCACCTGCAGTGCCCACTGTCAAATAGCTCTGCCCACACAGGGAAGGCCTTCAGCTTACAGAATGAATCCATCTGTAAACAAGTACTCCTTGTGCTAGGGGGTTTCATAGGTCAGCTTGATGAGATCATCATCCTGTTATTCAGTCCACACTAATCTAAGAGTTGCTGTGGTGGTCTTTAGATGAAACAAAGGAGATGACCTTCAATGATCTGGGTGGGCCTAACCAAATACAGTTGAAGGGCCTTAATGCAAAGGCTTCCCTGAGGAAGAAATTCTGCCTTCAGTTCCTGCCCGAGTTTATGTTAATGTATTACTATATATGATATAGTAGCTATGTTGGTTAATGTGTGTGTGTGTGTGTATACATATATATATATATAATGTGTGTGTGTATACATATATATACACTTCTCTGGAGAAATAAATACACCTTATTTCCCCTCCTGGGAGGATAGGGGCTATGTCCTGCTCTTCCTGTGCACTTGGGAGCCCACCAAGGCAGCATGGTGTGCACAGAAAGTGGAATCAGGCAGCAATGGCTGCATTTAATCCTGGCTGTGTGTTCACCTCTGCTTCCTCATTCATCAGATTGCAGAAAGTAATACCTATCTCCCAGAATTAAGATCAAAGGAAATGATGTGTATGTAAGTATTTCATAGGAGAACTAATTAAATGTTCAGGAATTCTCATTTAGGGGCCCAATAAGTATTTGTGGATGGAGTTAAATACAGGCACACTGGTTGGCAGTCAGGTGACAAAAAAATAGTTCATCACCATCCTATGTAGAATATTTCTATGTTTGAATACACAACCCATCTTCAAGCTTATTACCTCATTTTGGGATGAAAAAGGACCATCTAAAAGGAGAATGAAAGTAGATGCTACTCTGGGTAACAGGGACCACTGTGTGGGCCTGACTTCCCATCACAGCCCATGATAAGCCCCCACCAGCTTACTCCCAACCTGAATCCAGGCAAGGATAGACCTCTTGAAGGTGATGGTCATGGTCCCCGTAAAGACTGCATTGGCACTGTTGTACTCTGTCATGGGAAACGTCAGTCACAGTCCCCACTGCACCTCCGTGGATGACCCTGCAGGGCCAGACAAGGGAAGGGAGAGGGAGCAGACCAGTGAATGAAAAGCTCGAGAGCGCCTTGTCTGAGGCCATTGCATCTGCTCAGGATGGAATGAGCTGTCCAGAGTGGTGGGACAAGGCCTCCATCCACCTCAGCTTCAAATCCTGATGAAGCTAGGCTCCCGCCTGGGTCAGTCTCAGGTGGATAGGGTGCAGGGAAGACAGGATGGGCCTTGTAGGCAGAGAGAACTGACTGAACCCATGATTCTAGCCAGGTGACCTCAGTACATAACCACTTGGGACATCTGTTTCTTCATCTATAAGACTGGTAAAAGGGGTATCTGCTAGGAATGTTCATGAACACTAAATTACCAGCCAAAGCTCTGCAGTCTGGCATATGCCTGTCACTGAGCACAGCAGTTCTCTCCCTCTCATTTGTAACATCTGCTGTTTAACCCACTGTTTAGGAGGTGGAGGATCAGTGAAGGGTCCCCAGCAGGGAGAGGCCACACCTGGATGGATGGTTGAGGTCCAGTGGAGCGTCCTGTCCAGGGAGCCAGGGGAATGATGCTTATGCCTCTCTGGCCTGCAGTCAGGAGGCAGCCACAGGCCACCACTTGAGCTGCTGCTGGGCTGGTCTCAAAGCCTCACCCAGGCAGCCCCTCCAGAAGAGGCCCAGGCTGGAACAAGCAGACACACGTCTTCTCTGAGGGACTGTGGAAGGTGACACACTGGAAGCCAAGCCCCTCCATCTCTGTGATGTGGAGAAAGAGGCATTAGTCTTCTGCGGCCTGGTCTAGAGAGAAATGTCTGTTCACTGAGTGCCACCTTGGGCTGGAGTCCGACCTCAGCTCCATAAAGTGTCTGGTGGAGGAGCCCCAGGAAAGCCCGTGGCCCTCAGCTGCTGGCACCTGGGAGGAGAGGGGCAGCGGTGGGTATGACAAAGCCAGCAGTGCAAGGCAGAGCAGCTGTGAGGTGGGAAGGGAGCATG